CTGGGGTGGGGGGTAGGAGATAGTGTCCTTTGAGAAGGGTGGACAGGAATTCCAGAAGTGCAGGCCACATGGGTAGAGTTGGATGAAATCCTCCCTCCAGAAAATCTGCGTTCACCAGGAAGCCCATGGTCTAAAGCTCTGTTGAGATTTCTGGCACTAGGAGACCCTCAATGCCCGCAAAGGCTTTCCTCCCAAAGGGCCCACTCTTGTCCACGTGGGCCTGTACTCCTCTCTTTCCTCCATGACCCTGGGCTGGGGTCAAAAGAGGGGGACTTCATCGAATGGTGTTGGGAAAGCATGCTGCACAAGCTGGGTGCCCTTTCAAGGCCAGGCCAGGCGAGTGTGACCAGGGTGACCCCCATGCAGTCTGTCACAGCCCCCTGCCACGGCACTCCACCCCTTACTGGCCACACCTGTGCCCTGCTGTACCTGGCGGAGTTTGTTGAGCAATTCTGGAATGCCAGCCAGCCTCTGTGTGGCCCTCTGGTAGTCCCGATACTGGAGCACCAGCTGCACCATCTCCGGGTCCCCAGTGCTGACTGCCTCCTGCAGGACTGGGGACACCAAGCTGCTGAGGGGTGCTCTCTTGATGGCTCCAGGTCTGGCCACTGACCAACCCCCGCTATCACCCTCAGGCAAGCCCCTTTGCCCTCTGCAGTACCTGCCCAGCCCTGACAGCTCTCTTTGCCCACGTTGGCATTGTGTCGAAGGAGGACTCTCACAGACTCCAGGTTCCCCAGGGAAACGGCCAGCTCCAGGGGGGTGCGCCCCCGGGGGTCCTCCTGTTCAATGTCGTGCTGGGAGAGATGGGACACTCAGCACAGGGCAAGTAAAGAGAGGCAGAGGTAAGAAGATCACTGGGCTGAAGAGAGTTGGGAGTCACTAGGGGAAATAAGTAAGGCAGACCGGAGGGGAAATGGCAGGGGGTGCGCCTGGTTGTCCCTTCAGGGGTGGGGAAAGGGCAGGTGGGAAGGACCTGCCCATGTCTCCTGTGCTTTGCCAGGGACAGAGCTGGGGGCCCAAGTGGTGGGGCCTGGTCAGGAGAGGTGGAGCTGCGGCTGTCAGAGTCTGGACCGGCCTGGGAACCAGGACCCGCTGCTGCTTCTCAGCCTGGCGCGGGGCTGGGTGCAGGGTGCAGCGGGCGCGGGCGCGGCCGAGCGCGGGGAGCCGAGGCCAGAGGCTCGCGCGAGGGGCCA